TTATTATTATTATTATTATTATTATTATTATTATTATTATTATTATTTATTTTAGATTCCTGGATATTTGCATATTAGTATGGTGAAAAATGGTTCATGGTTACATCTAAAAATATTAGAAATTATTTGAAGTCTTCTTCTTGTACACCTGAAAGTTGTAACGCCATCTCTTCTGTGCCCACTCCAAACAGACATATCTGTTTTTTAGCAGCTGCGTCCTGATTCAGGTCATCTCAGTAGCACATTTAGCTGGTTATGTCCATCAAAAGCGTACAGTAAAAAAGGTTTTTATTTACAACTCTGAAGCAAACCATGTCTTGTTTACATGTATTTTCTATTTTTTGTTGTTAGCCACTAAAAGAAGATATATTTTAATCGACCATGTCTGTTCCCACTCTGTGACAAGCTTTTAATGAATCTGGCCATGGCATACTGTTTGTTATTTGCAGACTGGGTGATGTTGATACTTTCTGAGTCATTGGAGGCGGTCTCCCAGTGCAACATACATATTTTTAGTATCATATTAACATGAGGAATGCTTTAGGAGAGCTAAAAAATATGACTATTCCTCTATACTGTGAGTACTGTACTGTACTGTACTGTACTGTGAGTGCTATGATTAAATGTGAGCTTTCCTTGGATCTCCAATCTGGATGCATCCGAAAAACCTCCAAAAGGGCCAAGACCAGAAGTAATCTCAAATAGATGCCTGAACCACTTCAGTCAAATCAACACCCCAAACGTACTGTATCTCTATACGGTACTGGATCTATCTTGAGCCATCTTCAGCCACTCTCATACATTTTGATCCCTTAAACAGTGGCAACAAACCCCTATAGAATCTAAATCCTCAACACATACTTAAACTGAATGGTTGGACATTCTCCTTTGTAGCTAAATGCTAATTTAGGCTTTGCTGCTCTTAGCCGTTGTTGACTCTTTTCATTAGTTTTGGCCAACTGTCCATGGCAAATTGACCTTAGATATTGCACCTATAAACATCTACATAATTTGACTAAATCAACAGAAGATAAAACTGGTCTATAATGAACATTTTAGACTATACATCCCTTTAATCTTCGATTGTTAGAGTAAGTTGAGAACTGTATTGCTTCAGTTGATTCATTTCGGTACCCTGTGGTTAATGACAAAGCCTTCTTTCTCTATAATGCTGAACATTATCTCTGAGGTGTAAAGCCTTGTTGTCAAGAGCTTTGAACCACCTGTAATTACAAACTTAAGTGAAATTAAGCATTATCATAATGAGGTTTTCATTGGAATGATCTTACAGTAAAGTGAAATCATAAAATAGATGCATGTAATAGAAAAACCATTCCATTAGGACTGAACGCAGTGCGGTAATAATTTGACAATTTATGGTTGACATTCGTGTTTTCTTTACACTTTGCAGGGACAAATTGACTGATGTCCTTGAGGGATTCTACATATTAGTTTTCCTTGTGTTGCCAGTAAGGTTCCATCCAGGTTAATTGGAAATGCAGACTCCTCTATTCACTCACAGCAACGTTCATCATCACACTGCACAAAAGCATGAATCAAGCACCGGAAACACCTCATGATATCTTAGTAAAATCTAACCCGGTGCTTAGTTTGTTAATAGGGAGTGTTTTGTTAAGAGAGGTCTAATTTCTGTTGCTACAACACAAGAAACAGTAATGTAAAATGTATATACAATACTTTTACTGGCTTTTTTTTTACCTTTGCCTTGACCTCCACTCTTTTTTTTCTCTCCCTAGGCTCCTCCTTTAATCTAAGAGTTCATGTTATAGACATGCTGAGTCATCAGGGCCTGAGCCAGGCAGTGGTGGAAGTCTTCATAAACTACACCAGGAACAGTTGGGCTGTAAGTGGGGAGGACGGCAGCGCTCTGCTTCACATTCCCTACCGCTCAAAGCAGCCTGTCACAGTAGTGGCCAGCAAAGTTGGCTACATGCCCGCGCTGCTACCCTGTAAAACCAACAGAATACCAAGTAAGTAAGCCGTTTAATGCACGTGCCAGTACAATTCTCATTCATCACTTTAAACATAGGACGGCACTTTTACATTTTTTTTTTTAAGCTTGGAATGGCTCAAATACAGTTTGGAAGTGAGTGCAAGACCTACACTTGAGTGCAATTGGCACATAATTTGTTGCCAGCATCAATGGGGATTTATTCAAGATGATTTTCTTTGCTGCTGACTTTTAACTGTGCAGCTTTTTATTTCTTAATGAGCTTAATGAAAGTGGTTTTGAGCTATTGCCTCTTTCAGAAGAGTTACATCCAATCCCAGTTACTAGTTAGAGCCAAGACATCTTGTATTTCTGTTCAGCTGTAGAGATAAAAGTCTGCACTACCATCTAGTGGAAAACATACAATATTACAGTCCAAACAGTTAAGTTTGCATCTTTTCCACCTTCTTTCTTTCATGTTTGGCTCAGTATTTTCATCCCTGATGATGTCCCTGCTCAGTTTGAATCAAGGGAACATCTGGCTCTTTGAAGATTCTATCCTGATCTCTGGACAAACAGCTGGTATTTTCTGCTATTTTTCCCTATGTTTCTTTTTGTTTTTTCCATAACATTTGGCAAAACAATGATAGGCATTCTTCTATTTGTAGAATTTCCATCTCGACCTATTGTCAGGTTTTCCAAGACCCTGCTAAACCTGACAGACAGCAGCAACATCACCAATGTTAAAGCCTACCTGACTATTCCCAAACTGACTTTGGGTCTGGACAATCCACTTAACGCTCTGGGCATAATGAACACTACATCAGGTAACTGTAATAATGCCGTAATTACATAATGCTGAGTTGTACATACTTGCATGTCCAATTTTGTAGAACTTTGCACATTAATTGTAAATTTGTATTATCATTTCTGCAGCTAAAGTAATAAGTCCTTCAGGAGTAGTCTTTATTTTTAAGTTTGTGGTACGTGTTACCCATCTGAATTCTTTGTGCATGAAAGTTTAATCAGAGAAAGTTCAAGAGTCGATAGTCTGATTTGGTTTCACAACAATGTTTCTCTACATTTTCAAGGCTACGTGAGTGTGGAGTTGAGCCCAGTGGTGGCCGTCAGCGTGCAGCTTTTCTCAGGAGACACAGAGCTGCATGTGAGAGGGCCAATCCATTTTAGCCTCACAGTTCCTGATCGTTGGGGCCTTCAGACTTCAAATGTTATTCCTGCATGGTTCTTTAATAGAACCACTGGTAAGTGCAAACCAGCAACGACCAGCAACATAAAAATCCAGCTCAGTCTTTCTTTAAATTTTTTTTTTATATTGTGCCATATCACAATTAATGCCATCACAAGCCCAGTTCAAGTTGATTACTATCCAATTCTATTTAACCCTGTAATGCCAAATGTATCATATTTAATACATACGGTTTCTGAAATGTTTTGCGTCTGACTCCTTTTGCATAATTTAATGGTAAAAACTTTGCTCAAAATCCTATTGTACACAATCAGATACACCTGATAACAGGGGGCAGAAGACTACACAAAAAATAATCTTGACTTATCGCATAGTAAGAAATTATTAATAGCAAAAATGTATTTCTCTTTTTTCTTTTTACATATTTTTTTAAAAGGCCAAATAAGGAATTCAAACAAAAAAAAGTTATTTTCTATTTTGTTTTATTCTTGGATCAGGCTTTAAAGGGTTAAAAGAGTCATAAATAATCCGTTACAGTTAATCGAATTCTGAATTTTACCAGTTTATACAAACTGAGTTGATTCTCTTGGAATTAACAACAATTTTTTTGGTCAGGTACTCAATGAAAACTTTGAGAAGCACTGTTAATATGTCTGACTCAATTCAGTGAGATGATGAAACTAACCCGTTTTCCTACCAAATGAACCCAGCCTACCTTCAGTCCTAGTGCTTCTGTGCTTGCTATGTTTTACAATGATAGAACAAGTTTATTTGAAAGGGATGAAAGCAACAAGGCTGCTAATATTTGACCATAAAATAACAATTGTGGTAACTTTTCTGACCCTCTCCCTGCTTATTACTCGTACTACTCTTAGTTTGAATCCATCTCTTGAAAAATGTGAACTGACTTCTAAAATTCATGAGTTTAAGTGTTTCACAAATGTGTAAACCGCTGTTGTTGTATATGTATTTGTTCTTGCTGACCACATTTTTCTGTTTGTTTGTTTGTTTCCTTTAATTTGTGTCCGTGTAGGTGGATGGATGAGGAAAGGACTTGGAAAGGTTACGTCAGTAGACGGAAGACTTGTTTGGACTTTTACTGCTCCTCACCTGGGTTCCTGGATTGCTGCGCCTTTGCCATCTAGCACAGGCAAGATCTCACTTCCAATGTGTTTCAGAACCCTGTACAGCATAAATAATAGCATGAATATGAAATACAGAATACAATGCTGTCATCTTTTGCTCGAGCATGAATTAATTAATGATTAGTTGGGTTTATTGTTCTATTCAGAGCCATCTAAATGCACAATAACAATTATGTTAGTTTTTTGCTGTTCTGGTATTTTTCTTTTATGCCAATTACAGTTGTCTGTTTAACTTTAGATGATGACAAAACCACTAATTATCATGAATTCCATTTTTTTACAATCGCTAAAATAACAATAGAAGTGGCAAAAAATGTTCAAACTGAAAGTATTTTTAAATGATGTTTCACTATGTATTTGATTTCAGATTGAAATACTATTTTTTTCCATCTTTCTAGGTTATTTTACCTTTGCTGTTCCCCTAGAATTTATCTCCCACCATTCTTTTTTCCTTATATTCCTTTTTGGAGGAGCACTTCTGACTGTCATCTGTGTTCTGGGTGGACTTTTATATTATTGCAGGTAAAAGAAAGTCCTTTATTTAATTTTTATCCTGATGTTACTTCAAATTAAGCTGTGATTTTGGCCCTTTTTTGCTGACATGACTTGATCAAGTATGATCAAGTATGACGTTTACTGCTTGCCAGTTTGAAAATAAGTTCTCCACAGTCCATGTTTTGCTCCTGGAGCCTATTATGCTCTCTTCACGGTCCTTTCAGGAGGTGTTAACTCCCCCAGCACAGACTGTGGGTATGTGGAGGTTATATTGGCCTGAATCATGGGAGGTTTGGGATGCATTTTCTCAGAAAACTACTTACTCCTCCTCTATGTGGACTTCAATGAAAACAAAAGCTTTAAGTTTTGTTGGTCCTAAGACATTATTTTCATATCTGAACTGTGCGTATAGCTGTGCTTCTTAAAATTGATATGTTTATGTAGCAAAGCAAATCATTAAAAAAAGCATTAGACTTAAGGGGGGATAGGTTTTTTCACTTTACAAGACTTGCACAACTCCATGAATGTATTTCGATCGAAGAAGGAACAGAGATCCTAAGAGAAAAACATATGAGATTTTTTGGGCCTCACAGATTAGCATCATTTATGAGACGTTCTAGAGTAAAACCATTGCACCTACAGACAAGGTATATTTTAATGATCAGTATCATATTTAGTATCCTGGTAGTTGGGAGTTTTGACTGTGGAAATCCATTGGATGCTAGCAGAGTTTGAAGGTTTTTAAGTAAGAGCAGTACAATAATTCTTAAAGGTTACAAATTTCAGTTATGGAACCGGAGATGTGCTGGTTGCATGAATTGATATTGTGTTGTATGTTTTGGAATGAAATGAAATTGAGAAACTATCATTTTTTCCAGACTTTGACACACTTTTTAAATATGATACAGGAAAGAATCACAGACTACAAAGTACACTTAAGCTTACTTTTTCAAAAATTTAGTGTAATTTATGTGAAATGCATGTAATCAACTGAATTAGTTACAATAATTACTTATTCTAATACGTTTTTAATGGTTTATCCTGTCTACAGAAGGGAACCACATGAAAGTAAAGCAAGGAGTATCCAACCAGTGCTGAAACAGGACCGAACCACCTCCACATGTGATGACGATGACTTGGAGGCATCTTCAGGGAATATGTGCACATCTTGGGATGGGCAGAACCAGAGCCACTCATTGGCAGAAAGGGGGGATAACCACCGCAATGCCTCTTTTGCTTCAATGCACAACGGTGAAGTGATCGTCAACCCTGGTGCCGTGGCCATTACATTGGAGTGTAAGAGTCTAGAGATCGGAACTGACCCAAAAGATTCGACATTTTCGCACGAGAACTTGGAACAAGTCAAACCGTCCACCTCTCTCACGGACAGCGTGTTCTTCTACCATCAGCCCATTGCCGTTTTCCCTGCTCCTGCATTCTTCCAAATGGAGGAGCACCCGGAGGAAACCCAGTGGGGCAAGTCGGCCACGTTGCCGCGGGTGGGGCCTTCCGCAGATCCGTTCAGTAAAAACAGCCTCAGCCAGACTCTGGCCAAAGGAACCCCCGTCACCCAGAGCCAGGCTTCTGAAACTGAGATCCAGACTCAGACTTTGGAGGATTCTCACGTTTCAAACGCCGCCAACGCATCGAGGGGTCCTTTAGGCCTCCCGGAGTCAGCGTCAGTACCAGGGACGTTGAATAGAATCAGGGAAGGTCGGCCCTCCGTGCACACCCGTGCGGGGTTACCCACAATCCCCTCCCCCCAGCCTCCCCGAGCCTGGTTTGTGTCACTTGAGGGCAAACCCGCGGCCGAGATCCGGTACGCCGTGTCCGAGCAGCAGAGGAGGCGGAGGCCCATCGAAAGTCGGGATACCAGTTTGGACTCGGGGGTGGATATGAGTGAGCTCAACCAGATGCCCGGCAGGAGGGCTGCGACACTGGAGCGAAATGCTACATTTGTTAAGCGGAGAGAAGAACCCCAACAGTAAAAACACTACGGCAATTTTTTTTTCAGTGGCAAAGGACTTATTCTGGTCAGATGTCCAATCTAGAATGAGATTGGACTGCCTGTTCTCAAACAATACATGCATCATTCGTCATATCACAACTCCTTTAAAGAGCCTGTCCTCTATCATAGCAATAATGGTGTCATATTAAAGATACTCATGTTTCCTTTACTTAAAAATGCACCTGTTTTTTTCGAATTAAGATTTTAGAGTGTCCAGCCTTCAACTTTTTCAAAAACTAAAATAATAAAATGCTGATTGTTAATGAAAAGCATGTATTTTCATCTCACGGAATGTGTATTTATATTTGATTTGTTGTACGTTTTCTCTTAATTTATATCCCAGACTGACTGTGGTATTATTAATGCGTTATTGTAATGTAGTATGTGTATCATTATTATGATGTGGCCTTTACATTGATACATAAGATTCTACAATAAAGCTACATTTTTGATAAATTATTGAGTTTGGTGAAAGCATCCTCTAAAGATGTTTAAAAAGTTAGGGATCTAAATTTGAAGGGAGTATCAATGAAGACATGAGAGGAAGTATTACATTGATCATGAAGTGAATATCCTCAAGTCTTTTTTTTTGTTTTTTGGAAAAAAAGTTGACAGTAATGGTGAATGTTGAAGTTCATGACAGTACACGATTTAAAAAAAAAGTGTTGCTTGTTTGAGCATACGAACATAACTGCACAGCTCAGATTTCAATACAAGTTTCAATACAAGAGAATACCTCAGAACAAGGTGCTTTCGATAGAAAAATCAAGGGAATCTAGCTAACTGAAAATGAGTTAAAGACAAATAGTTTGGCTGATACTTGGTCATGCAACTGGTCAATGGTCCCAAACATAGCAACAAATCAAACAGAGTGAATGGAAATGGAAATTGTTTAGATATTGCACCTTGGAGATAATATTTATTTTTCCTCAGTCTTTCTTTGGAAGGCCCTTCAGGGACTGTTGTAACCATTTGCTTTTGACAATTTTTGACGATTAGTAGTATATCACGTTTGATTTTAGAATGACATAAGTATAATGTTGATACAGTCATGCAGGCCAAACAGCACGAGTGAGGAGGTCTGACTATTTCCTTGATTTAATACATTTTCCTTCACCCATGTCTGACACGGCAACTTTTCATAGTGTTGACAGAAAAGTTTGCTGCAGGCGTTGGGTTGGGTTGACACTGCAGCGCCCACTTCCTGGGTTGTGTGGCAGGAACACGGAAGTGTTTGTTGCATTCCTTTTCTGCTCTTTAAGGCTTCTTTGTTTCTCGATACGGTAAGTGCTCATATCTTCTCTCATATATTTATCTTTATGTACTTTGTACTATTCTTGACTTTATTCTTATGTAAGTTGTGTGCAGCCACAAGAGGCCCTGAAAACTATTACCTATATGAAAGTGAAAGTGTCCTGTTGTTCTTGTAAACGAAAGGTTTCAAGTCCTTGAAAGATAATTATATTACAAATAATTAAGAGGAAACACAACTTGAATGAGTTAGTTTTATGATGCCAATCCAATGTAATGAAATTATGGATACGGTAAAAGTAGAATAGAAGCAGTTACCTTTGCAATGGAAATAGGAGGAGTTGATCATTGGCCGAATCCTGCAGAGAGAGAATCAAGAGTTAAACATTAATAACTTTAATATTAATATAAAACACATATTTTGGAGCACTGGATCAAATGCAGCCAACATACTTGTTAGGATTTGGCTATAAATACTCACTTTAGCATTGTATGCTATTACATGATCTATGTAGATTACTGATTGTTTTATTTTCTTTTATAACTATATTTTGTGTTAAATTCTCTAGCTGTGCCCACAGATTCTCTTTTTTCTCTCTTTCTTTCTCTTTTGCATTAGATACACGTCTTTAAGTCAACACAAACACACACCATTTGGTACCACATTCCAATGTAATCAACAAGAATTAGGACCCGGCTTTTTAGTCTTAGAGGTAACTGGCCAATAGGACTTGGTTGTGTCCAGTCCTCCTTTGAGGGGTGTGCCCAAGACCCATTACACCCGGAGTGACTGAGACCCTGAGAGAGTTTTTTGTCTATGAAGAGCCCAGCTGATATATTTAACTATGTCCGATAAATTTTATTTTTGTACTTTTGGTCTCCTCTGGTATATTCTAAGGTTTCCAACTAAAGAATCGGGTTAACACACTTGTGAAAAAAGAATGTGCACTTTCTTTCAAGATTGAGATTTTTATATTGGTACAAATCACAGGTAATGCACAGTATTGACAGATCTCATATTGTAGATTCAATGTTCAGAAGTCCTATATCCAAAGGTAGAAACAGTTTCTGAGGCGTTTTATGTCCATTTTTTAAAGCTCCCAAACTCTCTGGCAGAGCTCAGACTGTTCAAGAGTCTCTTACAAAGGATCAGGGAGGCGGGATTCTCTTAGCCCTGGAGAGGCAATCTTCTCCGGTGAGGGCAGCAGACGGCCGGTGATTGTTTCTGTGCTGTCTTTATTACTCCCTGAAGGGCTTTCCTGTCTGCCGCTGTGCCAGCGCACCACACTTTAATACAGAACAGCGAAACGCCGGCGGTAGTAGTGAGTCAGCAGCTATTTGACATCCAGATGGTGTTTCTTGAGTCATCTGAAGAAACTGAGCCTCCGTTGTGCCTTTTTAACCTCTGCTGACTGAGCTATATGCCCTCCTAGATACCTGATGGAGACTTTTTCCACACAGTCTCTGGGAATATGTTGTGGAGTAGGGTCTCCCATATGTCTCCTGTATTCCAGCACCATCTTTTTTGGTGTTGCTGACCTCCAGCCTCAGGTTTTTGGCTGAATCTGTCCACAACTTTGCCGTTGAAAGGGTGGGAAGAGACACAGTTGGGTATAGATGGAGAAAGATGCAGGTCGGGACACAGCCTTGTGGAGAACCAGTGCTGAGCATCAAGGTGGAGGATCTGTGGGGTCCAGTCCTCGCAGTTTCTGGTCACACGTGGGGGGGATGGGAAATCCTGGTCGGTGAACGTTTGGACTGGTGTATCCATCGGGATGGTGTTGAGCCAATGTCCATAAAAAGTACCCTGACGTACGATTTAAGTTGGCAAAACAATGTGTTGGGAGTAGTTGTCATGGTGTCTTCTGTTTGCCCTGTAATCAAATTGTTACTGAAGTTGGGATAGGTTACTTAGACACTGCTTCTGAATTTATACATATACAGTGGGGGAAATAAGTATTTGACCCCTTGCTGATTTTGCAGGTTTGCCCACTTACAAAGAATGCAACGATCTATAACTTGAATCATATGTACATTCTAACAGTGAAAGACAGAATCCCAAAGAAAATTCCAGAAAATCACATCTTATGAATTTATAAAAATTGATAACCATCTGATGAGGAAAAATAAGCATTCTTTATAAGTGGGCAAACCTGCAAAATCAGCAAGGGGTCAAATTTTTATTTTCCCCACTGTATATTTCTTAAGTATATCATTACCACTTGAGTTTTTTTTTACATGATTGAATGAACTAGAAAGGCTTTTATTCTCATCATGAAACCTAAAATTAACACAGAAACTATTTCTAACAGCGTTTTCTAATGGCTTCTGTCCCCGTTCAGGTCATGGACAAGCTGAGGTCAGAACTGGACAGCCTATCGGTGTGGCTTTCAGAAGACCCCGATTACATCATTGATGAGTGTGGGGACATTTTGACAGTGAATGAATATAAAGAAGTGAAAAAGCAGGCAAATGCATCAGACAAGATGAAAATGCTTTTAAATACAATTATTGACAAAGGAGGCGATACCTGTCAGAGCTTTCTTGATATTCTGAAGAAAAGTCAAGAGCATTATCCACAACTGGAGCAGTTTTTCAACCCCAGATCCCATGGTTTGTAAGATTTTCTGTCTTCACAGAGATGGCAAACATGAATGAAGTTCTGATTTTATTCACATCCATTTGCAGGCTCAAACCCATCAGTGTTTGCCGACAAAAGTAGTGTTGTGACGGCTCAAAAGTTTTGCAACACAACTGCAAAGTCTCTTTCAATGAAGATTGAGGCAGTAACGAACCCAAAAATGAGTCCATCAGGTAGGAAAGTATTCCATTTACCCAGAAGAGTACACGTATACTTGTAGTTCTTACTAAAAGAAAAACATATTATATTATTGTTTTTTCTTTGAATAGGAAATGCTGGGATTTCCAAGGCAAATTACACTGCAACAGATGGCAGCATAATATGTGCTGATGAATTTAGGAACGTCAATATAGATGGAAGTATTGACATCTCAGTGTCTGTTAAACCATCACAAGACCATGCAGGTAAGATAAAACACCTCAAACTGTGCAGACTTTATTTCTAGAAAATTCAGCAGTTTAGTGAAAATGTTAGAAAATATTCAACAAAAGTAAAAATACTTCACTAGCATGCCAACATGCGCACAAACGTGTAAATGTTTACAATACTATATAGATGCACACATAGACTCTCTTTGCCCAGTTATCAGAAGCATATATGTTCAATAAAAAAATAGTTAATTCACATTTTCATTAACTATTAACTGGGTTCCATGAAATACAGGTAAATTCAATGCATCACCATCCAGCTTTATAAAAAGCAGAGTATTTTAAACTTATACACACTTAAACACACATAAGTTATTCAGGACATTCAATAATTCTGGTCAACAAAGGCAGTAAATATATGTATTTCCAAACTTCTGTTAAACCAATCTAACACAACTGTTTTTGTTTTTTGGAAAAGGGGATTGTGAGCACTTGTCCCCTGTTTTTTGTCTGATATTCATGAAATTAGTCTTTTAAACAGAAGTCAGCTCCATCGGATAAAATCAGCAAATCTCTTTCGTCCTCTCAGGTGTTGTTGAAGAGACAGAGCATCTTCCTCAGGTTAGTAAACAAACATTTGATTAATTGCGGGACCATTTAGTTTTTTTAGACCATTTCTGATGAGGCTTAATTTAGCTTTGAATGGTTCAACTGAAGACCCAGATGCATCTGACAGATCCTGTGCTAGGGCTTTGCTTATTATTTTTTTTACCACATATGCTTTCCATTGTTTAACAACGTTTTGATTTACAATTTTAAGCTAATAGTGTCTTGGGTATAACCACGAAAAAAGATTTCACTGAATAAAGAGTGAAAAGCTAGATAATGTCCAAAGAATAATATTGTTACACTCTCAGAAAGCCTGAGATAGGTAGTGTTACATCAGTCCTGAGTTGCTGTGTAAGGATTCTGCTTCACAGGTAAGAGAAGAGTGCATAAACACTGTAATTTTGACAGGACTAAGAAAAACATTTGCCCAATTTTTTGCCCTTCACAGAAAAGTAAGCTGTTCAGCAAATCTTCCATACAGAACAAAAAGTCTCTCAAATGCTACAAAAAAGTTTGTTTTCAGATGTTTGTTGCTGCAGATGCTCTTTATATGCATATTATATTCATATTTATACAATGCACAAATAATTAAGCGTTATCCCAATAACTGTATACTTTTTTTTTTTTTTCAGGACCCTGATGTAAAAATGATAATTGATAACAAAATTAAACTTCGCGATTGCCTGATGGCGGATCGCTACATTCTCCAGCATGCGCAACAAGACGGCGTCATCTGTCTTAGAGAATATAATAATCTAAAAGAACATTTGTCACCAGAAATATTTGCTACCAACCTAATTGACACAGTAATTGGAAAAGGTACAATATCTTGTTCTAAGTTTCTTCAAGTACTAAAAAAAGCTGACGTTCTTGAGACCTACCCACAGCTGAAAGAAATTCTAAACATTGACGCTGAGCAATAACTGAATTTTATTCATCAACTGAGAATGTGACAAGTTGAATTTTGTGTGTGCTTGATTTTGAACTATTTTTGTAATGATTTAATATGCAAATACTATAAAACATTGTTGAAATGACTGTTTGTTTTCTTTTCAAATTAATTTAACACATGTATAAAGATCATTTAACTTAGAAATACTTTCCGGCTTCTAGTAAAGTTAAAACCTACCTGTGCCACTTGTGATTCACGACCACTAGAGGTAGCAATTGTACATGTTTTGTTTAGAGCTCTTAAGGGTTTTAACCTCCAACTATAAACACAAATATAATAACACTTAATTACATTTTCAGTTCCAAAGGATTAACCCAGACAGTTCCACCATAGCCATGAATTTATAAATTATAGTTTTCACTGGTTTTGACAAATTATAACATTTTCCAGAACAGTTTTACTTCTCCATGAAAGGCTCATGGATAGACAATAAAACATTTTAATATAAAAACGAAGGAATACACATGGAGAAATATTGGAAAATGATTTAACTTTAATTGGATAACTAACTGATACTTTCCAAAAAAAAAAAAAAAAAAGAGAGAAACTTTCATATGAGGTTAGATTGGGAAATACAGCAATTCAATTTTAATTGTTTCCAGATCAGGGTGTGCAAGGTTTATCCAATCAGAGAGTGAGAGACCTCACACAGTCAATCTATGATCAAAATAAGAGAACATGAATTGAATCTCATCTAAAAACTCCGCTCCCTTCCAGTAAATACTGGCAGGTGAACACGCGTGTACTGACTCAATGCAAAAACACATGTGCCTCTCCACCCTGGAGAGAGATTTCGGGTGTTTGGCTGTGGACTAAGGAGCAGGAATACAGTGGCTTGAGGATGCGTTTGGAATGGAAACAGTCTGACGCACAGTCGTAAAACGGCAGGATTATCGCTGGCCTGTGGGGGACGGTGAAAGACACCCTAACTCTTCATGTGAACTCCGCGCTTGCCTCATAGCAATATATTTTTTTCAGGCACTTTTACAGCTTTTAACCTTTTTGGAAAAAAGAACACCACTGTGCATGATTTGCAAGACTGACATGCCATTAAGCTTCTTTCTTATTTTCAGTCAACTGACATGATCCAGTCTGTCTTTCTGTTAGTTGTGATAGTACTAATGAACTTATTGTGATTTAGTCTTAATTTCAAATATGCTGAGGACAATGATACCATCACAGAACTTGCCTTTTGGATTTCTTGCTGATATGTCTGGCTGGTCCGTTCAATTTTTCGGCGGAAAAAAGACTAAATATGTCTTCCAATTTGGTCCTGGTAATGTTGTCAATCTTGATGCAGTGCCATCTGGTATCAGTCAAAAGAGAAACGTATCTATTCCTCCTAATTATATTTCATGAAAACTGTGCTGTTCTTTTCTTATTAAAGTTGTATTTGTATTTAAAGTGAAACCAGGAGTTTATATTGTTCATATATTCTTCATATGATGTACACATGAAACATAAACTGAAATTTACTTTATTTTTTGTTATGTTTTTTTCTATTTCTTTTCCGTATGGGTTGATATTGAACCAGTGGAGGGATTATCTCAAAAGTCAAAAGTCACTGATGTTCTCTCGCCTTAATTTATAACAAGATTTTCTGGTTCGACATAAAGAAACATTTGAATTTGATGTCACTGCTCACTCTACTTGGTCTTTTACTCCTTTGAACCATAGGGGGCAATAGGTGAAAAAAAACAACTATTGCCTTTGTTTTCATGGGACAAAATGGGGATCTTCTTTTCCCTTTTGTTGCAACAACTTTGTTGGGTTATCATTGCTAACACTTGTTGAAATAGTGGCATGTTATTTGTTGATGAGTTAGACCTGGCACTCATGGAACAAGTACAGACAATAAGACACTAACAAGCTCTGCTATTCTGCTCCCCCTGCCAAATACAACATTTTTCACATGCCACTGCACTGCCAAGCTTTCGAAAAATGACCCCCCACCCCCAACAGCATGCCAGACCCAATGCAATGCTGGTTGTGGAAAATATGTATATGCTACACAAGCAAGAGTACAATTGAACTGTAACTGGATATATTTGCTATGAAAAGACATGCTTTTCTTTTGTATTGACAAGATTTTCCAGTTATGTTACAAAATCAAATTAAATAGATGGAAAAGGCTATCCTTATCCTTGTTTGTAAGGTAACCGTTTTACTTTTCTGTGATAAATGCACCATTTGTTCTGTGGTTTATTCACAGAGGATAAAGCACAAAGCTATAAAGCCACTGAGCCAGAAAAGAAAAATCATTAGTTGCAACTTCAGTCCAAAAGAAAGCAAATTGTTCTGAGGTAAAGAGTAACTTTACCTCAGAACAAGAGCTTGTTTTTATCTTTAAAACAAGATAAACACTCTAACACCATCATGGGTCATTTTGGTAACCCTGCCATTCAATCAGCAGTTGTGTTGCAAATCCAGCACAATATCCCTACACAATGTTCAGTTACATTATTTTTTTCTACATTCAAGGGATTTCAATACAAATATACCTCCGGCAGATGTTTACGTCTGGTTTCTTGTGTCTGGTTTTGGTACAGGTTTCTTCTTCTTGAATTCTTTGCAGATATAACTTTGTGTAAAACAAGATAATTGCCATCCAGCATGTTCCTAATGTCTAATTAACCCTGCAATGCCAAATGTACGGTTTCTGAAATGTTTTGCGTCTGACACCTTTTGCATTATTTAATGATAAAAACTTTGCTCAAAATCCTATTGTACACAATCAGATACACCTGATAACAGGGGGCAGACTACTCAAAAAATAATCTTGACTCATCGCTTAGTAATAAATTATTAATATTAAAATTTTATTTTTGTTTTTTGTTTTTACATATTTTGTTAAAAGGCCAAATAAGGAATTAAACAAAAAAAAAAAAAGTAATTTTCTGTTTTGTTTTATTTTTGGATCAGGCTTTAAAGGGTTACGTGATGCAGTATTAACAGCAAATTTAAAATTAGATTAGTGTTTAAACTGATTATGTATTGAGAGGCTCTCTGACCTAACCACAAAAGCCTCTTCCATCAAATACATATCTTTAACTGTTTTAGGCTTTATTCCAGTCAGGTTTCCCCTAAATCAACACCTCCATATTGTATTGGATTAATCTGTTTTATTGGCAGCTTTTGCATCACGGACTATTAACGTTATTGTAATTAAAAACACTATCGATCCCGCTGGGTTACGTGAATATGCCATCAACCTCCATTCTGTGTAAGGTTCTTGAAAAAACGTTTCCAGACGAACTTTATGGTCACTTCCACATCTATAATGAGTTTCAGTTGGTGTCAGACCCCCTTAGCCTATGGTATCATAATTATAGGAGGCCTTAGGGTCATTTAAGCCATTCCTAACTGCAAGCTATGAGAAAAAGGAAGGTGTTAATTCAACCTTAAAGGTAGAGAAGGCAGTCTGAAACTGACGTTTTTTTACTTCAAGAGATACAAATCTATTCAACATTTTTTGGTCAAATGTGTGGATTCATTAGCAACTTAGTTTTTTTTATAAATCAGCCTTAAAAGTCAGCCTTTACCATTGATTTTTTAAACTTAATTTTTAATTGCTTTAAAATTCTGCCCATAAAAAATACACAACACCCCCTGTCAAAACGCAGTGTTTATCCCATGATACGTGTTAGTTGTGTAATCTGTTATTTAATCTAATACTTCAATCATCATCGAGCATTCGGATTAATGATTAGGTTCACTTCAGTTGAAAACAAAATTGAGGTTAATGCAGCTCACGGCTAGATTTAGAAACAAGGAGCTGAGCTGACAGGTTTCACTGCCTGTTTTGACTCACTTACAGCATGTCATGCTGTAGGTGAATGCACTCCAGTAACATGTCTCGGAGTAACAGTAACAGAGTTAAGTCATATTCACACTGCCTCCATGCCTGTGTTCTCAGTGACCCAAGATGACCCTTTTTGGAGAAAATCTGTTCTGAAATAGCCTTGAGTTGAAAAACAGATAATATGGACACCAAGGGCAATTTCCATGCCTGAGATATCCATCTAGATATACTTTTATAGGGTTTTTTCATTCTTAACTTGCATCAGTAATCTATTTATTTAACACAATTTGATTGTTTTTCCTTTTTTTTGTGCGGACAATCTATCCACCCATAATTATACAGATTTGATACATTTTTAGTTTCTGACTTGAGCCTATCCTTGCAGCCAGCAGGATAGTTTTGGTACACTCTAGACAAGTCTCCAATTTACCAAAGAGACAAATGAGACACATAGCCCTGCAAACTCAAAACTTTCAGCTTGGGTCTGTTTAGAATCCCCAATGAATCAGTCATGACCTGAATCCTTTTGGCGGACAAAAAGAACTGAGTAAGACACAGAGCATACAACAGTTTACAGAATATACACAAATCTATCTTTCCTTAAGTTAGCATTTAGACAGTGTGGACGTCAAAAACAGATAACTCCAGTTTAATCGCCAAAGTCTACTTAGGTATCCTTTTATGCTTGCCTATTAAGAAAAAATGAAAACTTTTCTGTTAGCCTAAGATGAGAATCTAAAACTACATGATCAAAATGGCTTAACCTCATAGATAGCCTAATGGTTGGGATAACCATCAAACAAAAAGTTGACCCCAACATTTATGGAACATGGAAACTAATGTGTCAGAGACGTCAAGAGGTCATAGAATTGCCAAAGCTGATTTTCTTAACATAGAATGAATATGATTGACTGTTAATGTTTGAACGAACAAGACAGTATGACATATGGTGTTTGGGACAATGTGTTCATGACAAAATCATCAACACTGAGGTTATTTTGTAAGCTCTGTAAGGACTTCAGTTTTGATTATTTTTCAGGATGACTGGATAAAATAGGCAAATGTGTTTAAGAGAAAGCGTTACACGACAGAGCAGCTGACAATGACTCCCATTCACCAACAATTAGCATGACAAAAAACTTGTTGTACATGACAGCAGATTCATA